GCCTCCATTTGCCTTCAGAAAAGGGTAGGTCTCTCAGGGATAGCAACTAAACACAGCATAACAAGTTACAATAAGACTAGCCACACCCCTCATGGTAAGGCTAGATGAGGACACCTAATAGGAGGGGAAAGAATCCAGAAGCAGTCAAAAGGGTTAGAGAGACTCCTGTCCCCACCGTTAGGGGTCCCACAAGAGCACCAAGCTCCACAACCATGAAATACATACAGAGGACCTCGCTCAGACCCACACAGGCTCCCTGGTTGTTGGTTCCGTCTCTGTGAGCCCCGGGAGCCCTGGTCAGTCACTCACTCACTCACTTAATGAGGTACGTTAAGTTTTCCCAGTGCCAGTGTTTTCTCGCCACCTGTAATCTGCGTGTCACATAATCTTCCACACTAATGTTTCAGTTGCTCACTGAAGGATTCTGGTTCACAGTTTAAAATTCCGATCCCATTTCACGGGTTCTGTGGGAAGTTTTTCATATCAGAATACCCGAGTCCTGCAGTACCCATGTCATCTTAATACAAATATGTAATCTTCCAGTCAGGGAAATCAAATAGAAATTGAGACCTGGCTCCTGTCATCGGAGCAGGTTCACGTTCTGCTTTAGTTCATTCACTCTGTGACTGGGTTTTTTTTTTTTTTTTTTTTTAAAGGCCTTAGGCTGTTATTATTTCTAATCTTTGATGTCTCCATAAGGTGATGGCAATGACAAATAATGTGCTCTGTGAGATAATTGAATGACATATTCTCTATAAAGCACAGTCTTAGTATTCAGCCGTTTTCATTTTAAAAAAGAAACGCACTCTAAATAAGTAATTTTATTTTGTACCATGTTGAAAGCAGGTTTCCTTCATGTTATCAGTGTGGTTACACATGCCTTACATGCTGCTGCTCATTCAGAACTTGCTGCTCTAGACAGTGTGGACCATGTGTTTGAACTCTTGACGCTTACATTGTAGGGCCATTTATGATTGGCTGAGACGAAATAGTCAAGGAAATAGATGTGGTTGAACAACAACAAGAAAGGATAGGTAGTGATACTGAAGTCCATTTAAATAGATTAACAATTGAGCAATTACCCGAATAGCAGGAGAGCCGGTAGCTTGCTCTTCTCTACAATTAGATTCCAGGAGCTCAGCTCAGTGCTCAGCTGTGGGCGTCTGCTTCTGCTTCCATCAGCTACTGGATGAAGGCTCTAGGATGGCATATGAGATCATCATCAGTCTCATTATAGGGAAAGGGCATTTAAGGCAGCCTCTCCACTATTGCTTAGATTCTTAGTTGGGGTCATTGTTGTGGATCCCTGGAGATTCCCTAGTGCTAGGTTTCTTGTTACACCCATACTAGCTCCCTCTATTAAGGTATCTCTTTCCTTGCTCTCCTTCTCTGTTCCTCCCCCAACTCCCAGCTCCGCCTTCCCAATCCCTCATGTTCTCCCGTCCTCTCCCTTTTCCCCTCCTCGTTCTCTTACCTGCCCCCCTCCCAGTTTACTCAGGAGATCTTGTCCCTTCCCCCTTCTCGGGGGTCCACATATATCTTAGGGTCCTCCTTGTTTCTTAGCTTCTCTGGAGGTGTGGACTACAGGCTGGCGATCCTTTGCTCTATGTCTAATATCCATGTATGAGTGAGCACATACCATGGTTGTCTTTCTGTGTCTCGGTTACCTCACTCAGGATGGTTTCTTCTACTTTCAACCATTTTCCTTTGAATTTCAGGATGTCATTGTTTTTGTTTTTGTTTTTTTCCCACTGAGTAGTATTCCATTGTGTAAATGTACCACATTTTCTTTATCCATTCTTTAGTTGAGGGTCATCTAGGTTGCTTCCAGATTCTGGCTAGTGCAAATAATGCTGCTATGAACATAGTTGAACAGATGTCCTTGTAGTATAAATTTGCATCTTTTGGGTATATGCCTAAGAGTAGAATTGCTGGATCTTGTGGTAGGCTGATTCCCATTTTCCTGAGGAGCCACCATACTGATTTCCACAGTGGCTATACAAGTTTGCACTCCCACCAGCCCTGGAGGAGTGTGCCCCTTTCTCCACATCCTCTCCAGCATAAACTGTCCTTGGTGTTTTTTATTTTAGCCATTCTGACAGGAGTAAGATATTATCTCAGAGTTGTTTTGATTTGCATTTCCTTGATGGCTAAGGATGTCGAGTGTCTTTTGGCCATTTGAGATTCCTCCACTGAGAATTCTCTATTTAGATCTGTACCCCATTTTTAAATTGGATTATTTGGTGTTTGGTGACTAGTTTCTTGACTTCTTTGTATATTTTGGAGATCAGGCCTCTGTCAGATGTGGGGTTGGTGAAGATCTTTTCCCACTCTGTAGGCTGCTGTTTTGTCCTGTTGATGTGTCCTTTGCCTTACAGCTTCTCTGTTTCAGGAGGTCCCATTTATTAATTGTTGATCTCAGTGTCTGTGCTGCTGGTGTTATATTCAGGAAATGGTCTCCTGTGCCAAATCATTCAAGGGTACTTTTCCACTTTCTCTTCTAAAAGGTTCCGTGTGGCTAGATTATGTTGAGTTCTTTGATCCATTTGGACTTAAGTCTTGTGCATGGAGATAGATATGGATCTACCCGCAGTCTTCTACATGTTAGCATCCAGTTGTGCCAGCACCATTTGTTAAAGATGCTTTCTTTTTTTTTTTTCCATTGTATAATTTTAGCTGTTTTGTCAAAAACCAGGTGTTCATATGTATGTGGATTAATATCAGGATGTTTGATTTAATTCCATTGGTCTACCTGTCTGTTTTTGTGCCAATACCAAGCTGTTTTCATTACTATAGCTCTATAGAAGAGCTGGAAGACAGGGATGGTAATGCTTCCAGAAATTCCATTATTGTACAGATGGTTTTGACTATCCTGGGTTTTTTGTTTTTCCTTATAAAGTTGAGTGTTGTTCTTTCGAGGTCAGTGAAGAATTGTGCTGGGGATTGCATTGAATCTGTAGATTGCTTTTGGTAAGATTGCTATTTTTACTGTGTTGATCCTACCTACCAGGAGCATGGGAGATCTTTCCATTTTCTAATATCTTCTTGAATTTCTTTCTTTAAAGACGTAAAGTTGTTGTTATACAGGTCTTTCACTTGTTTGGTTAGAGTTACCACAAGATATTTTATGTTGTTTGTGGCTATTGTAAAGGGTGATGTTTCTCTGATTTTTTTTTTAGCCCATTTATCATCTAAATATAGGAGGGTTACTGATTTTTTTTTCTTTTCTTTTTTTTTTTTTTTTTTTTTTTTTTTTTTTTTTTGAGTTAATCTTGTATCCTTCCACTTTACTGGGCGTGTTTATCAGCTGTAGGAGTCCCCTGGTAAAATGTTTTTGGGTCACTTATGTAAACTATCCTATCATCTGCAAATAGTGAAAGCTTGACTTCTTCCTTACCAGTTTGTATCCCCTTGATCTCCTTTTGTGTCTTATTGCTTTAGCTAGAACTTCAAGTACAATATTGAAGAGATAAGGAGAGAGTGGACAGCTTTGTCTTTTTCCTGATTTTAGAGGAATCACATTAAGTTTCTCTTCATTTAGTTTGATGTTGGCTGTTGGCTTGCTGTATATTGCCTTTATTATGTTTAGGTGTGTTTCTGTTGTCCCTGATCTCTCAAAGACCTTTATCATGAAGGAGTGTTGGATTTTGTAAAAGGCTTTTCCAGCAACTAGTGTGATGATTATGTGGTTTTTGTTTATATGGTGGATTACATTGACAGTTTTTTGTATGTTGAACCATTGCTGTGTATCTGGAATGAAGCCTACTTGGTCATGGTGGATGATTTCTCTGATGTATTCTTGGATTAAATTTGCCAGTATTTTATTGAGTATTTTTGCATCAATGTTCATGAGGGAGATTAGTTTGTAGTTCCCTTTTTAGTTGTGTCTTTGTGTGGCTTGGGTACCAAGGTAATTGTAGCCTCCTAAAAAGAGTTTGGCAATGCCCGTTCTGCATCAGGAGTATTGGTATTAACTCTTCTTTGAATTTCTGGTAGAATTCTACCCTGATTTTTTGGGGGGGGGGGGTTGGGAGACTTTTGATGACTGCTTCTATTTCATTAGGAGTTACAGGTCTCTTTAAATTTCTTGATTTAATTTTGGTAAGTGATATCTATCCAGAAAATTGTTCATTACCTTTACATTTTCCAATTTTGTGGAATACAGGTTTTCAAAGTATGAACTGATGATTCTCTGGATTTCCTTAGTGTCTATTGTTATGTCCCCCTTTTTATTTCTGATTTTGTTAATTTGCCTATTCTTTCTCTGCCTTTTGGTTAGTTTAGTTGAAGCTTTGTCTGTCTTGTTGATTTTCTTGAAGAACCAACTCTGTTTCATTGACTTTTTGTTTGTTTGTTTGTTTTCTTTCTTTGTTTCTTCCTTGGCCCAGGAATGATACAGTTGAGCATTGTTCAATTTCCATGGGTTTGTAGGCTTTTTGAAATTTGTGTTGTTGAATTCTCACTTGGAACTATGGTGATCTGATAAGATAGAGGAGATTGTTCCAATTTATTTATTCATTTATTTTTATCTGTTGAGGTTGCTTTCTTGATGAGTATGTGGTCAATTTTAAAAAAGTTCCATGTGGTGCTGATAAGAAGTTATATTCTTTTGTGCTTGAATGGAATGTTCTATAGATGTCTTTAAACCCAATTGAGTCATAACTTACGTTAGTTCCTTTATTTCTTTGTTAAGTTTATATTTGGTAGTCATGTTCATTGGTGAGAGTAGGGTCTTGAAGTCTCCCACTGTAAGAGTGTCTCCTTCCCTGGGTAAGAAACGTAGACTCAAAAGTGAAATTGCAGGTGGGTTCTGCGCTTGTACTGGATGTAAGAACCTGATGGGTCCACTTCACACCCAGGCGTGGCCTCCCAATGCTACTATATGGAACTTCCTGTACATACAGTGACTGGCAGGGTTGCATAGCAGAGCCATCGGCTGCTCTATTGGATCTCTTGTGACAGTGCCCATTCCTGATATTCATCTTTTCCTTTCTGTACAGGGCTATTTTCTTCTTTTTGAGTCGATGTTGGATTCTGTCCTTTATGCTAAGAGCAAATACTTGACAAAAGGAGGATCAGGTAAGTACGACCTTTGAGTGTTAATCGGACTTCAACATGGCACAGTCTATTGAACCTTTGAATTCAAGCATACTGTGCATGGCCTTTAGAGTTTCATTAGAGATGAAAGATGTTCCTTAAGACGGGAAGGCCAAGGCCATGTCTTCTTAGGACATCTTTTACTAGAAGGGTTTTCGTTTGTTTGTTTGTTCAATAGAAACGTAAGGAGTAGGTGTGGGAAGCTTTTAGTTTTCAAATTAAAATGTATCAGAAGCATCTTTTCTTTTTTTATCCTTGTATCATTTAGTTCCTTTTTTCTAATCTTAATCTTAGCCAAAGGCCAATAGCATGTTTCGTGCTAGGTTGGAGATGATTGGATTTAATAGCAAATTTCCCTGACCTTGCTAACTTATAAGCTCCTCCACTCTGTGATGTAGTTCAGGTGTCTAGAAAGGTTTTAGTCTACTAGAAACCGATCTTTTTCAGCTTGGAAGCCCTTTTTTCCATGTCTGGGGGAAAGTAGGGCTCTGGTTGCCTCCTCACGGGGAAGTGCACTTCCCAGCCCTGTGCTTAGCTGCCTGTGTTCTTAAGGACAGGGTTCTATTCTTGCTCTGGCTCCCTGCCCACAGCGCCCTGCAGCTACAGTGCAGTTGAAAGAGAGGAGCTAGGGCGGGTCCTGCAGACAGTGCGCCACCCTAGTAGCACTCTGTGTGCTGCCCTTTCTCAGGGTGCATTTGTCACATAGTCTCTTTAAAGCACTTCCCACCTCTGCGTATGAACCTGGCTGGAAGTTAGGTGTTTTACCCCGAGACGGTTTCACGTCTGTGGTTATTTGGTCTTAGTTCCTGAGGGAAATACCACTTGATGATTCTCCATGGTCGGCACCATCTCCCTTGCTTATATTATATGTAATCTTTATCACAGCCCTTTGAAGTTTGGGGAACGGTATCAAAAGGTGTCCAGGAGATGACACCATTAAGGGGCCAAGCCTGCATTTCTTTTACTTTTCTGGTTTTTAAACTCATATCTGCCTGACCTAATCAGTATTCGTGTTCTTTTCACTAAACCTCGTCTCCCTATTAAAATGCACGGAAAACTTCTGACTCTTGCTGTGGGGTTCTAGGGATCCCCACCTCCTCCAGTGCCATACCTCCCCAGTGGAACCCATTGATCTCACTGAGGAACTGACAGCAGCTAATGCATTTAAATCGAGTGCTCAGTGAGATTCATTAGGCCCCCACAGCCGTGGGACGACAGCAGCTGGAGGGATAAAAGGGAGGTTAATGATTCTAGCTCAGTCCATATTTTTATATAACTGATTAACATTAGGATCAGCTGGGGGTGTAGTCAGAAGGCTCAGCATTTAGCTGCCTGAGCAGTGCTGTGGAATGCTATTTGTTAATATACTTAGGAGGAAAAAAAGAAATAAAATAGGAGCAGCATGGAATAAACAAATACTGCTCATGTGTAGTGTGAAGTTTTCTTTATGTAATGTGCAGATTTTAGGAAGAATGATTGCATTATGGAATGGTGTAGCGGTATTGTGGGCCCACAGTGTGGATGTAAGTTCATCTGTCTTCTCTTTCCCATGAAGAAGATTTAAATCAATGTGAAGAAGTACTATGTTCTTGGATAAAGAGATTTAATGCCAGAAGATGTCAGTTCACCCAAATTTAATGTAAAATTTGGTGAAATCCAAAACTACTAACAGTTGTTAAAATTGTAGACGAGAATTATGTGTATTTTCCCCTTTACTGATGTTCTTTCTAAGTTTCTATGGCTGTCCCTGCCATCAGATTTGTCTTTAAGCTGGTTATGAAATGTATGTGGAAAAGTAAACAGGAATGGCAGGAAACGAGCAAAGTAGCAAGCCCCTGGGGTGTCAGGGGCAGGAGGAAGAGCCCTGCTGTATAGAAAGTGCATCCTGAAGTCCGGGCATAAAAACCAGGCGTCTCTGCTTCCTGTGTGGGAGACAAGTGGAAGAAAATGGAAACTCTGGTTATAGCCACAGATGTAATCAGCACCTCTTCTTACGGTGCAGGAAATTATTTTTAATAGCAAATTAAAATATAGTTTTATTTGAAAATAAAAGCAAGAATGGAACGTCCTTTCAAATACAAGTGACTAAATAATCAATGGGAGCTCAAAGAATGAGATGTGTACCAGCTTTCAGAGATCCTCCCTAAAGTGTCTACTAATTACCGCAGGGTAAACCGAGTCAGTTTTACCGCAGGGTAAAGCCAGCCAGCACTGGGACATCAAAGCTGACATGCTCTGGGCGGAAGGGATTATATCTGCTAATAGCGTGGAGAAGTAACTCACTTCGGGAAGTTGCTCAAAGCCAGCAAGAGTTCCTAAAATCATTTTCAGCAGAAGAAAGTTGAGAAACTACTGACCTTCCTCCGCCAGGAAGGGATTGTTTTTGCCACTTGTCATTGCACTGCCCCGGAATGTGAAAGCAGCTCCCCTCACTCTAGGAACCTGGATGCATTTTGGATCTTTCAGGCTTTTATCCACTTCCAAGTAGGAGGAGGGCTGGCCAGCCCATTCCAGCTCACTGCTTCCGTTCACTTTTCAAGGACCAGCTCAGTCACGAGGGCCTTTTCCTTAAAATATGGATGCTCCGGCTTCGTGGAAGAGGCCACTGAACACAGCCCAAAGGCAGAGTTTATTTTCAGTACTTTCTCCCCTTGTAGCTGGTGTGGTGAGAGGGCTTGTTGGGAGAGACAGAGATTACCCCGGTCAGTGGGAAAAGGACCTACTGAAGGGCAGCAATGCTACAGAGTGTGAACTGGGAAGTGATACAGCCAGAAGCAGCAGCTTGGCGGGACCATGGCTGACACACTACACTGTGCAGGTGCCCTGGAGAATGTCCCGTCCCTGTACCCCTTCAGCAGAGTCTCCTCCCCTACCAGCCCGGCCTCCTGCAGGCTGAAGAAAGCCAGCTTCTGCCTTGTGCCTCCTGGGGAGCGGCCAGCTTCTGCCTTGTGCCTCCTGGGGAGCGGCCAGCTTCTGCCTTGTGCCTCCTGGGGAGCGGCAAACAGAGCGTAGGGACCCAGCCAGCACCCCCGCCCTGCCTCTGGCCTGTGCACCCAGAAGTTACCCTCGGTGCCTCCTGCTCTCCCAGCTGCTGGGTGGCCTTTCTCCTCTATTTCTGCCGCCATCAGTCACTCAGCATAGTGAGCATCCCATCCATTTCTGCGTTGCTCACTTAGTTTTAGTAATGGTTAAATGTACTTTCTCCTCTCCCTTCTACCAAATGCGCATTTGCTTTAGAGGGTGGAGCTCTCGTTTGAAGAGCAAGACAGTGGGCTGGCGTGCAGTGGGAAGTCCCTGGGCAGACCCCAAGACTTCCACGTCAGCTGGCTGGTTGTCTTCTTAGTAGCGAAGATGGCTTCTTTTGGCGTTACTTACCTCCTTACCCATCAGTCTCCTTTCTTGTAACGTGAATATTATAGCCCAGCTACAGACAGTCATCTCAGAGTCTAGACGAGCGGCCTGGTGTAACGTGGTTTTCATTCTGTATTAAGTCTCCTGTGCTCTTGCTGGAAACAAGCAGCATTGGCTTGCATTGGCTTGTGCTCTGAGCAGTGTGAAATGGGTTTAACATGGCACCTTCATTCAGTAAGGCATGTTGTGTCTTACCTGTGCATAGGTAGCATCACACAGAAGCCATTAAGGCTGCTTTCCGGGGCCCAAAGTTTCCTGCGCTGTTTCTATACTTGGTCTTCACAGTTTTCCACCACATTTGTTATTGTGTGTGTGTGTGTGTGTGTTTCTTTCTAGAAATATCCTGATAATGTTTACATTCTTTCAGTACATAGTTTTTCAAAACATATTCCATCTACATATTAAGTCTACTTAAATTTTAATGGAGCTAATCACTATCTATTAGGTAATGCTATGGAGGAATAAGTCTAGTTTCCAATTGAATATTTATTTCCGAGTGTCCCCTGCTCTGTTGTGCGGTGAGTGTTTACATGCTCTGACTCCTGCCTGCTGGTGTTTTGTGGGGGTTGCATTTTCAGTAACTCTCACGCCGTTAGGGCCCAGAAGTTTGTGAGGCCTTCCCTAGGGATGAAGGGTTCCCATCTTGCTCTGCTCACCTCATGGGCTGTTCCAGTGACAGATGAATTCTGGGCAGTGAATCGAGAAGGACACAGATGTCAAAGCCATGGATTTATAAATGGGTCTGGTAACTGGCTGCTTTTGTCCAATCAGCATTTGGCCGATTTCACCTACAAGCAGGCATAATTATTCTATTATAGCTGTTATCTGACCAAAAAAAAAGAAAAATCAAGTGACAAATGTGTGCGACTGTGAAGGTAAAGGGTTAGTGGAGTTCTGGCAGGTGGCTCAAGATTTGGGCAGCTGTGCCAAGGTGGATGCTGAACCCCATTGACCTCTAGCGCTGATTACAAATCTTTATGAATATTCATGTCTTTCTGGGAGATGGGAAAACCATTTCTGAGCTGTACCTTAGAAATATAATTAGCTTGAAAACTGTGCCTCAGCACTTGAAAAAGAAAAACTACTCTGTCCTGATTTTTTTTTTTTTTTTTTTTTTTCTCCCCTCTAAAGCGGCTTGCAGGCAGTTTTCCTTCTGAAGGGGTCATCTTTGTTCTCCACACCGTGCCGCTTGAGGGGGTGGCAGAGCGGCAGCTTTTGGTAAAAGCCCAGGTCGATTTTTCAGGGTGACAGCCACACTCCTGCCCTCTGTCCAGCTCTGGCGCTGTAGCACAGCCAGCGCAGCTGTAGCTGACGGGTCAGCATGCTAGTGCAGTGGCGTGACCGTGAGTGTGCAAACCCAGGCAGCAGACTGGATTGAAGCATGCGGGAGCTGTGGCTTGCCAAACCCAAACCCAAACACACTCAGTGAGGACGTTTGATCATGCTCTGAACGCCCGTGAACTGGATGGAGTCATGTGACTGTCCCAGCCATGTACAATGAAATGCTGCAGTATGTTAAGTTCCCGTGAACTACAGGCGCAGCGGCTCTCCTGACAGTAATGGCCGACCACCCTGCTAAGTCCCGCCTTCACGGTCTTCCCTCTTCTCTATGGCTGGGTCTCAGGGTCCAGCCCACCGCCTGCCTGCCTTGTGGACAAGGCTGTATCGAACACAGCCATTCTGCTTTCACAATAACCACAGAAAGTGGTCATTTCAACAAAAGACAAATGGCTTCATTGCATTCCTCGGGCCACAATGCAGAAGCTGCAGCTGAAGCACAGACATCGTACAGGGTGTGGAAGCTACTGAAATACCCACCCAGTGCTGCCTGCCGCAAGTGGGCCTGTTGTCCGTCAGCATCCTAGTAACACTTGAATCATTACATTTTCTGAACGTGTCTGTTTCCTTCCATTCAGTCTTCGCACAGCACTTCCAATGGTGGTTCTAAACCTGAAGTGCAATCACGGTGCCACCCTAGGTAAAGTTTCCAGAGTTATCATTCTTAGAATAAAGTCCAGTTCACAGCAGTGGTTTGTGGGAAGCCTTGTATCTCTCTGCCTGTCTAGGTAGAGAACAAGTGCCACCCCATAACAGTAACGGACGCACACTCACTCTGCTGGAGCAGGGTCCCCACTTTTGAACTGGCTTCTATTCTTACATGGTAGCCAGCTTCCCCTGCTGCAGCCCTGTCTGAATTTGCTGATTTGGGCCATCCACAATGCCTTCTGATTTCTCTTTTGAGACCAGCCTGGGCTACGTGAGATCCTTTTTCAAAATAGACATATAAATACAAGTTTCTTAAGTGTAGAAATTTATATCCATAGTCTTTTATTTAGACTGACACATACTTAATAATCATTTTTATATTAAATAAGACAGTGTGGTATGAGCTGGTCCTCTACCTGTCCATAAAACTCCAGTGTGATTTACCCCTACCCCCACCCCATGGTGCTAAATATTTTTCCAGACAGTTTGTCTCTTTATGTGTACTCTATAGGAATATATGAATTAACAATTTTAAGTAGTTATACTTTAGGTTTTGGTATTAATGTGTTCATTTCAAGGTTGCTTTAGTTATTTTAGTAACTAAAGAGGAGCCTACTATTGGGATGCTAATTTTACCATCGTGATTATAGGCACTTGGGGAACTTACCTTCCTGTCTCTGTCCATTGATCTTTCCATGCTGCCCATGTAGATAGGTTTGACATTTATATTTATTTAGCCATATAAAACTGTCCTCTGAATAAAGAGAAGATGCTACATGAATGGGCCCTTTCTTTATTCCAGTCTACCCTGACATCTGTACCATCAGCCTAGTGGCCGTGAGTGATGTGAACAAGCACGCGGATAGAATTGCCTTCTGGGACGACGTCTATGGCTTCAACATGTCCTGCATGAAGAGAGCAGTTATCCCAGAAGCTGTTGTGGAGGTTGTAGATCACAAGACTCTCATTTCAGATCCCTGTAGTATCAAGGTAGGTGTGGGCCCACCCTCTGTGTCTCTGGGGGCTTGATGCTAGGACCCCGTGCACATGTATGTGCAGAAAACCCCTCTGCAAAAGGAGGAAGTGTCTGCATGTGGCCCTCACGCATCCTATCACTCACTTCACTTACATGTACCGCAGAGTGGGTGCTGTTTGAGTAGTACACCGTATTGTTAGAGGCATTTGAGAAAGTAGATGTCTGCACATGCTCAGTACAGGTGAAAAGGTAATACTTTCAGTCCACAGTGCCTGAGTCCAAGGATATGGGGTTCTAATACAGGATGTCTGCTTACTGACTTTCCATGTGGGCCTCTTCTGATTTTATAAAACAGGCTCACACTTGCTCCTGGGCCATCGTTGCTTAGAATCCCCTCGTTGCTCCGTTCATTGGCCTTCCAATCCCAGTCCTGCAGCTGGGTGAATCACTTGTGCAGAGTCTGGCCTCGCTCTGGCTCCCACAGGTCATTACTGCTGTCTTATGCTCCATGGTTTAACTTCTTACTCAGATCTCTTCTGGCTCGTTAGATTCATTACCGTGAACTTATCTGACATAGCAAGGCAATATTTCCACTGTGTGGAGAAGTCCTCGTTAAGCCCTTTTGTGCTTTATTTTTGTCCATGTTAACCTATGGATTTACTGTGACAGTTGATTTTAAATGTGTTCACCATAGCTTGGCAGCGAGGAGTCACCTTGAGTTTCTTAGCACATTGGTTGTCTAAATAGAAAATGGAATGTGTGAAGATTTCAGCTGTGGGTTGAGGGCAATATCTCCTTCTAGTCAATGACTTTTGTAATATATAACTGTTCTCTGAAGAAAGGAGACTCCTCAGCAAGCAAGCTTGATTAACTGTGGGGCTTGGGCTCCTGGTGCACTGATGGCCTCTATGGGCCTGCTCCATGCTCTGCTGCTCTGTTTGAGTCAGAGAAGAGGGCAACGGTTATGGACCTATGGCAGAGCAGGACGAGAGTAGGGGAGGGAATACTGAGTTCTCTCCCGGTGCCCCTTTGCTTGACACCTCAAACTACTGTGAATAGTTGAAGGAGCTGGTTTAGGATGCTCTGTGACATCAGACTTGCCTGTTGGGCATCGTTTGTTTTCCAGCAATTCTTCCTACACTTAAAAGCCCTCCCACGCTGTAACTTTCTTTACAATTTTTCTTCAACTATGTAAAGAGGGTGATGTCCAGGCTTTGGCTATAAATCGTATCACTTGTTGATAACCCTTCCTGAAGTGCCCTGGAGAGCTTGAGCCAGGGCAGAAGATGAAGAAAGGAATGGGCTGTTTCTTTCCGGGATGAATTCTCAGTTCTGCTGTGTGGTTTGAATTATTGTGGCTTTTCCTTCTGTCTAACAAGCATACTTAAATACACTGAGATAGGCATTTTTCTGACAGTCTTTCCCCCATCAGCATGTGCTTTCAACTCCTCTTTCCTCTAAGATTAACGTCATACCCTGAAACATAGCAGAGACAGGCGGTGTGCACTGGGGGATGCAAGGTGGTTTCCTGTCAGAAAGAACACTAGCTTTTAAATTTGAAGCCTTTAGTGTGTTAGCAAAACCAACAGCCAGATCAGCGTGTGACTTCATGGATGTTATTGCTTACGGGAAGTCAACTTGATTTAAAGAAACATCAACTAATATGAACATTCCTTTTGTTTGGAAAGATTCCTCAGAATGGCTCATGGTTACAAGTTAGGGAATGCTGGTTTGCAGCTGCTGCATATTACGTAGGCTTTGTTATTCCTGTTCACTGACATTTTTTTTCTTTCTCCTTTCTGGTGGGAAGCGTATAGATTGCCACACAACATCGATCTCAGACTTGGAGTTTTCTTCCGATTTTACCCTGAAAACCACAAAGACAGCCATGTGCACGGTAAGCCATCCCATCCTACTTCCACAGACCTCACAGGCAGTGCAGTTGATTGGCAGAGTAATGGATTAATTACCAGGCTTGTGATAAATGAGAATGGCTATTGCCATTGACAGTCTGTCTTCGCCTTTGCGGTCGCTGGACAGATCTGCTTAATAGATGAGTAGACTTCAGAAAAGTCCCTGCAGCAGGGTGTGGTGTAATCTCAGCCCTCAGGAGGTGAAGGACAGCCACAGCTATAAGACCCTTACTTAGTTTAGTTAGTAGACAGTAGTAGGCAATCTCGTTTTTTCTTTAGTGTTTCTTTCCATGTGTGTGAGTGTGTGTGTGTGTGTGTGTGTGTGTGTGTGCGCGCGCGCGCGTTATCTATCATACTCAATGGAGAGCATTCAACTTTATCTTCAAAAACAAAAGTTCTTATGCTACACCTCCCTATAGGTCCCCGCACTTAATTTAGACATGTTTAAGGACTCACTCTGGCACAGGAGAAAAGGCGTGGCCTTTGAAATGATAGACAGATCCAAATCCACATTTGTAGGTCTGGGTCTCACTGTGTAGCCTAATTCTGTTGGCGTGGACAGCATGCTTGTTTGTGTGGAGTCTCCAAGCCATGTTAAGCACAAGCTGCCAGGGAGTTGTGGAAAGTTTCATCTGAGCAGCAGGTACTCCTATGTAGTACTGAATGCTAACACTTGTGAGAGTTTTCTTTCACTAGTTTTAAAATAAAATGATCTCCCTGTGATGACAGGAAGACCGCACTTGTGCGCTGGGTTTCATTCTGTCACTCGTTTTTCATAGTCATTTGGGCTGACTTGGTCTAGGATGTCACATTGTACTGATGAGGAATAGAAACTGCTGTCACGTTTTACTCGTGTACCAAATGCTCTGCTTTTCCTTGATCCTTAAAAAGCCTTTGCTAGTGGGATCGTCGAGTCACGAACAGAACAAATAAGACAGTACAGGTGTGCAGTCAGACAGACTACACGTGCACCTGAATCAAGCGGGGAACGTGTTCCATTCTAGACATGGGGAACCAGCAGTCTAGCAGCTGCTGAGGAAGAGGAGGCTGGAAATGTTTGAATTGACATGCAGCCCAAACAGAGACAGAGCTAGATTTCCTGAGGAAGTAGGCCAGGCATCTCTCCTTTGCAACATATACAAAGTAGTAAATCCCGGGCTAGAGAGATGGCTCTGCTGGTGAAGGGTTCAATCCTTGGGACTTACATGAAAGTAAAACGTGAGAATGTGCACATTGATTCCACAAGTTGTCCCATGACCTGCACACACATAATAAGTCCTTTAAAGTAAAAAGAAAAGTAGCTCTTTGAGTTTCTAAACCTTGTCTCTTGGAGAGGACTGAGATGTTTGGTGAAGCGTCTGTGTTTCCAGCAAACCCTTCCTTCCCGTGCTCACTTGACCAGGAGCCTGACATGAATAGGATACTTCCAGCTATTGCTCCGGATAAGCTTCATCATCTGAATCCTGGCTCACCCCTTTGGGTCTGCTTTACCTCTCTTCAGTCTGGAGCTGTTGTGCAAATATGGTCTCTGAGGCCGCTCCTGAACAGATGGCCTCTATGTTTAGGAAGATTAATCCAGCACAGACGTATCTCAGACGATAGGTGTGTGATTAGAGCCGCTCCCTTCTAAAGGGTAGAACCACTGATGGGCAGGCCTGGTGACCGGCAGAGCAGGTGATGGGCAGTGCCAGTGGAGGTAGAGCGGGGACAATGGAGGCCGAGGCCTGTGAGAGCAAGAGAACAAAGTCTGTGGATTTGCACAGGAAGAATAAACTTCAGAAAAGCTAAACGCCTTTGTCATTCTGAAACTAGAATACATAGTGACAAGGTGAACCATTTCTAAGGAGTTATGCATATTGAAATATATGCACAATTGTTTTTCTCCTGATGAGACTGCAAATTTGTGGTCTAATTAAAAAAAAAAAATACTAGAGAAAATTGGATTTTTCCAAATATCAAGAACAGCCTGTAGATTTAGTTTCCACAGCATGGGTGCTTGTGGGCTGATCGGCTTCTGTAGAGCCTCTCAAGATGGTTAGAACCTTCTATGAATAAACACCTTTTCTTTGTACAACTGTACAGCCCGCTTTGCTTGCCCACACGTGCACACATAACATGGACGTTTCAAAGCTATTTTAATTTCCTAGAGTTTGTTGACTATAAAACTAAAACAAATAGCTTCATCTTGTGAATTTTATTTTTGTTGTTGTTTGTGTTTTACTCTTTATGTATGATGGGTGTTGTAATTTTTAAAAAGCTGCTCAAGAGAGAAATATGCCATGCAACAGAGTTTAAGCAGAGGGTTGTTGTTGTTGTTGTTGTTGTTATTATTATTATTAAGGGAAAAGGATCATAAAGAGGGGGGAGGGGAGAGAGAGGTGGGCAGGGCCCTTTTAAACGGGAAAATATTGAGTGTGCACACGTCCTTGAGCTTACAGTTGTCCTGTGTCACCTTCTCAGGTACCAGGACTACGGGAGTGTGTGTCTATAGCCACCAGCCTTCTGCCCGGAGAGTGTTTTCACTGGGTTCCTGTTGGTGAGGTGAATTGTGGCAATACGTGCTTCGGGCCTGGGGTCTGAGTACTGCTAGGGAGCGCACAGCTTCACCCTGCCCCTGGCCGCAGCAGTAAGAACTGTGTATAGTGAGCCCAGTCTCTGCGTTTGGGCTCCTCTAGGTTTCCCAAGACACCCGGCCCAGGCTGATGCCTCACTCTGTCCCCAGCACCTGTCCTCAGCTCCAAAAACCACTGTTGGTCTGTCTGTGGCAGGGAAACACCCCCTTCGGAAATAGTTTGCCATTCGAGGCTCCTTCCTAGTTTTTCTGTCAGTTTATTTGAAACATATCTAATATGCCACGTAAGTTCGTTTTCTGAAGAGGTTGCCCCTTTTAAAACATGCTTTGGGTTCATTGAATGGCCACACTAAAACATCCTTGATTCTTAGGCAGTTGGTGTCTTACTCCAAGTTCCAGAGTTCAAGTTCCAGGTTGTCATCACCGCTGTCAGCCACTGCTTCCCACCGTGAAGGAGTTGTTCTTCCTTCTCCTCGGAGCAGTGCTGAGGGGCTGACGGGGTTGTGGCCCAGAGGCATGGGCCCGGCAGGTGGGAGGCTGCCCGGCGGAGAGGCTGCACTGGACTCTGTGTGTGTGCGTGTGCGTGTGCGTGTGCGTGTGTGTGTGTGTGTGTGTGTGTGTGCGCGTGCGTGCGTGTTACCTAGGGTTTAAGCCTGTAAAGCAGGCGAGAGAACAGGAAGCAGGGGCTGGAAATGACGCCGCCCTTGGTTTGGTTGTGCAGTCAGGACAGGCCTCGAAGCTATTCGGTCTCTTTGTCATTTTGTTTTTCAAGACAGGGTTTCTCTGTTTAACATCCCTGGCTGGCCTGGAACTCACTTTGTAGACCAGGCTAGCCCAAACCCACAGAGATCCTCTTGCCCCCGCCTCCGCCGTTCAGTCTTTTAAGGCAAATAACACTGCTTTGAGAACAAACTTGAGAATGTGTATAGCCAAACCTCAATGTTCCCTTACTCAATAGTACTTTCTTTTTTTAAATCCAGCCTTGCGTTTTTCTAATGGCTCGAGGAAGGAGCCCGCTTCTTTGCAACTGTTCTTCAAATCTTCTTTTAGGGCTTTTTGACAAATCTGATGGTGATATCCAGCTAATTCCAAACTCATTCCCAGGTACTAAATCAGCACTTGGCTCTCCTTGGTGTAGGCTGACCTAATTTTGACCTTCCAAAACTAATCAGCTAAACACACTAATTTTTAAAACACATCTGTGCTGCTTAGAAATAGTCAGATTTGTCTTGAACTCGCGTCAAAGATTTCAGTGCGACAGCTGGCAGATGTTGTAGTAGGCTGCTTTCAGGAAGGCTTATGTTGGGGGAGAGTGGTTCTCACTGACTGCTCTGCAGCTGGTGTTTAGTCTCCTTGTCAGGATGACCATGCCATCTAGACCTGAGTCTGATCCTTGACTCTGCTCCTCTGTGTCCCAAGCATCACCAGGTACTGACTGACCTGTGCTAAGGGCTGGAGGCATCGGGGTGTGTTGTAAGCTGAACAGGTAGTTCTGTGTTCACAGCATTACTGGAAGAGTCAGATATTCAATTTGCACCATGGATATTGGGTAGCAGCAAAGAATACCGAGAATTTGGTAGCCTGTGACAAGGGCATTCTCATTACTTAACGAGTCCTGTTTAAAGAGACATGTGTAAGGTACTTACTTCAAAATAGTTGAGCGCAAAGAGAGACGAGTACAGGTAGAATACTTACCAGAGACTGTTGGTATGGGCACTGGGTGCTGGAGGGCTCTATATAGTATTTGTGTCTGGAAATTTAAGCAGCGTGCATGCTCAGTGTCTCACTGAGCTGTGTGTGCCTGGTAGCATTCTGAGAGACATGGGATGACTAAGCAAAGGCAAGCTATTTGTGTTTTCATTTGATTTTACTGTATTTATCTCACTTTACCAGAGTTCAGAGAGCAACTGTAAACATTGCCTTACTCCGTCTACCATGAGGTCTCTGGGGATTGCGCTCAGAGATATCTCACCACCCCAGAGAGCTCTGTTTCTGTAAACTCAGCACCCTCTTCAGCCACAGAGGTTGCATAGGTCACAGCAAAACAAAAGTGCATTCATGTGCATGTGTATGGCCCCAAACTGCAGAAAATCCAAGCACTTACCGAAGCAAACAGGGCATTTATGTGATGTTTGACAGGGTAAATACGTGTGCTGAGAACACAGCAATGAAGAAAGTATGTGTGACCACAGTATGCATGAGTCTCGTGAGAATAAAGTTCACCTCAGAGCAAAGGGAACACCAAGGAGAAAGTTTCAGGCTACATGAACATGACTTTTAACACCAGGGGATTTGCTGGAGGGGAATGAGAGAAGCCCCCAGTCAGGAAGGTGGTCCTTTGATCAGTGTATGCTGCATGTGTGTATAGAAATAGCCTCTGCTCAACCCCACTGGTATGCATAGCTAACGCGT